CTGCTCCCTGGGCACCCATCATGGGAACATGGGCTGACAACAGCTTCTCACTGTGTGACCCATGAATGAGATGGTATTTGCAATCACCTCTAGATTAAGGGATGGGGTTATAGGAGACAATCCTAGAAGTTGTAACAGCAAACTCAAGATTGAAGCTCACCACATCATTAACTGACTTTTATGAGGCCTCTGTGGCGGTGTATCCTCCCTCCCTGCCCAGGCTGCAATATGATCTGAGAAATGCTGGTTAGGCCTCAGCCTTGATGAACAGCACCTGGGCTCAGGTCATCTTGGGATTATCAGAAATACTGTCTGTTCCCAGGAACTAGTGCTGTCTAACAAACAAGAGTTGATAAAATTCTTGCAAATTAGGAAGGTGTCAGATCAGATATAAAGTTTCTGGAAATGGAAAGGCTGATTTTATATATTTTCTAATTACAAGACACACAAATTCTTAAGAGGCTTGCTAGCTCCTAAACCTAGCATGACATTTGTGTGCACAAACTGTAACCTCAACATTAAAACTGACAGCTATCTGTCTGAAGAAAAGTTCAAAGTCCAGTGAAAACATTTCAGAATTTATTTGGACAATAAAGTTTTAAAGAGGATTCTACTAAATATTACAAGTGGTAGAATTTTAACGTGGCATTTGGAATGAGGGAAGGCATTAATGCCACTTAGAAAAGGACACATGATCAGTATCTCTCATGCTAATATTGGTAAGATCCATCCTTCCAAACTATGATGAAACTGTCTTCTGATGTTCTCATCTGCTAGGTTGTACTCTGCCTCTGCTCTTGTTCCAGAGTGTCCAGAAAATAAGTTGCTTGTAGAATAAATGAATGAACCAACGGCTGAATGAACTCACTCCCATTTCCCTATGGTGACAATTGTGAACCTTCAAACCATTTCTTCCTTTTATAGCACAGCTATAAAAGTGCTCTGAGTGACACCAGACACTCTGCTGGTAGCTGGGCACTCAAGGATCAAACCAAGCTTCCCAGAAGTTTGTTGTGATCGATTCATGATCCCTAAAATACCTACAAAAACAGGACAATATCCACACACTGCCTCCATCCCATGCACTAAAGGAGGTTGCACAGAATTCATAGTTTGGAACAGAGAACTGTGATTTACTTGATAATGCTGCTCCCCACAAATCGTCAAAGAACCTTTTTACAATGCCTCTATAACTTTAGTTTTGTGTAAGAAACAATTTCTCACAAAAAAAGTCCCCCCAACAATGTGTGTGTGACCCTCAGGCTGGCAAGACGCTATCAGAGGTAATGATTTCTATCCTTATGTGGCTGAAGAGAAAACAAACACAGCTGAAATTACACAAAACTATCTTGTCCTGGCAGAATATTCGTGAGAGAAATACAGACATTTGCCTCAAAAACTGCAGGATCAATTCTTCCTGTGATGAGAGATTAAAAGAAAGCAAAATAAAAGCAAAAACATTAGCATTGCCTTTCTTGTGAGATCAAAGAAGTCTTAATTGCAGATTTATCTTGGAGAACTGAATAAAGGGATAAATACAAATGTCAGTCTTTCAAATTGCCCAAGCTGACACACAGACTGGCAGTCCCCATGCACAGATCAGATTTGTTTGGAACGTATCAAAAACATTGAAAGCCCTGGACCACTGAGCAGCACAAAAAGCAAATGTGGATTAGTGTGTATTTATTGGTTAATTATGTGTTTTCTCCCAGTCTGCAAGACCCTAGACTGTATTAAAATTTTACTGCAGATTGAAGCTCGGGAGTCTTTTCAAAAAGGAATTAAATGTGACATTAGATGATCACTCATGGAGTCTTTAAAACCAGTATCTTCCAAATAAACATATATTTTATTCCTGATATGAAAAATACTGTTCATTTATACATGGAGAAAATATAGACTGCTTGGAGAGAAAAGGTTGGAAGGCTGTCCAGATATTGTCTGTATGCTATGTATGTGTCTCTGAGGATCAGTTGCCTGGAAATGAAAACAAGACAACAGTAATTGTTTACATAGATGTTGTCTGAAAACTTCTCAGGCATTTATCTTCTCTCTGCTGGCTTTATGCCAATGGTCCATCACTTAAATTGACCCATGGGAGCTATTTTTGGGGGGTAAGGAGTGAAGTCTGCAAAACAGCATTTATGATTTAGAGAGTAAATGAAACAGCTCTAAAGGCAAAAAAAATTCCCCCACTGCTACTTAAAAAGTTTTTTACCACCTTTGAAATCAAAACGTGATCAGGATGGTGTCTGTTCATTCAGTTGATTGCTTCCAATCAGTTTAAAACAATCAAGGTTTAACTAGAAATAGTCATTCAGCCATGTGCTTTATTGACAGCAAATGAGGGCTTTGAAATGGGCATGAGTTAAAACTGAATAAATTACACTTGGAGCTGAATTGTTACACTTTGATATTTTGTATAGGTAATTCACAGTTTAAAAGTAATAATGGATTCACAATGGTAATATTGGTAGTACAGATGAGTTACTGAGATATAGAGCTACCATTATCAGAAGGATGAGATTTGTAGTTTCTGTTTCCATACAGAGAAATCTCAGTGTGGGCTTTTAAGGAGAGTTAAAAAACTGTCCTTTTAAGGACAGTTTTACTTACATATAAACCCGTATATCGTTTCACCACCACATCACACTGCTATCAGGCAACTTGCTGCCTCTGGACAAATCACTCCTCTCTTCTGTTCACATTTGCAAAAAGGAGGTGACTGTCTTGATCTCCTTTGCAAACTCCTATCAGTTCTGCTCTGCAGTGACTCCTAAGAGTGTGCCAGCTTCCCCAGGACCCTCCATAGGATGCTTGTCCAGCACCAACAAGGGCAATTTCTGGACTTCTTGCTGTGTTTCATGAAGCAATCACAGTGGGTGCCAGGACCTCACAGGTGTCCTGGAACAGCAGCCTTTCTGAAGACAGCACCAGAGAACTCTTGCCTATCTCTAAAGATGCTGTCCCAGGACTCTTGTTTTTACTGCATGTCCTTTAACAAATTAAACAGCAAAATACATTCAATGTTCCAAACACATAAACAAAATTAGCATTTTATTGACAGTTTCAGTTGAGAAGCCAAAGTCTACAAATGTACAAATAAATGTTCCTTATGTTTATTTTACATATACTTTATTTTTTTGCTTTTTCCCCCCTTGGTATCCTATCAGTCTTGTATAAAAGAGACAAGAAAATCTGAAACATTTGATTAATCTTCAAGTATAACTTGCCTGTTTTTTCAATGATGACAAAATTGCTCTCTCTCTAGGTTAAATAAACTGACATTTAAAAAAGCGTAGAGACAGTATTAACCCTTCCCTCATATCATCTCCCAGTACACCTGTTTTTTACAGTGGCCAGTGAAATGGATACTTCCTTCCAGCATTGTGGCCTGCATGAAATAAACATTCTAAACAGCCTGAACTGGTGCTGAGTTTCAAGGACAATTTTAGTGAAAGGGAAAAAGGGAAATATTATCTGCCATTACAGTTCCCCAGCTCTGCAGAGGATCCAACTCCACAGAGGAGAGCATCCATTTGCCAGCATCTGCATGCATGCTAAGCCCGGGGATGCCGGAGCTGCTCCCGGCTTCCCAGAGGCTGCAGGGCCACTAGAGGGATGTCTACAACCATCCTTCCACTGGCTTCTGAAGCGCCAAACCACCACTTCACTTTTCCAGCCAGCTGCAAATCACACACGGAATCAAACAGGAATTGAAAATGCTGCAACAAATATATCAGAGAGTTGCTCACCATGGCCTAGGGAGAGTATTTGGAAACTACCAGATGGAAAGGTGAGATGCAATGCTGGAGTCCCACAAGGCCCAAGTGAGCTGATCAAAAATCACAGAATCATGGATTCACAGAGTGGTTTAGGTTAGAAAGGACCTTGACAATAATCTAGTTCCAACCCACCTTGTTCTGGCTAAACAGTTTTCTACCATCAAATTCCAATTTGGTGGAAAGCAAACAGCTTGTCCCCAAATCCCTAGCTGCTGCTTTCTTTCCAGCATATCTGACATGATCTACCTGAGTCTTTTTGGCAGCTCAAGGTCAAGGGCTTCCAGGCCTTGTAAGATCAGGGGTCTGGGCTGTGGTCGTACCACCTGACTGACTCTGTGGGCTACACATCTGCCTGCGACACAGGTCATGGGGGAGTCTTGCACAACTGCTTGGAAAATTCTAAAAAAAAACCAAATTTTGTTCTTTTCTGTAGTGAAATCTCTCTTCAAGCTGCTACTCTACAGGCAACATCAAGTCCAGCACTTGGTTCAGAGCTGGAATTCTGTTTTACTGCAACATTTCCTACCATTCTCAAGTACATCTAGAGATACCCTTTTTTTGTTTGTTTGTTTCCAATGGTTTAACTTGTATCTAGTAGTATGGCATAATTTAAACTATCAACAAGTTAGCAGTAGGCCCAGTGAAAAAAGTACTTTATTAGTTTTAAATTAGTTGACTAGAAAAGGATGAAAATGTAATAGTGAAGAGTCCCCTCTCCTACAGGGACCAACTGTTGGAATTGATGGGATGATAGAGGCTGCAAAGAGAGGAAAAGATTGGTAAACTGAAGAAATAAGCTTTAGTTGTAAGTACTGTAACAGAGACTGTGCACTCCAGAACAGCAGAAGTAATGAGCCTAATTTACTACCCTGTCTGGGTAGATGGGTCAAACTGTTATGTTTTAAAAAAAAAGATTTTAATTTACATGGAAAAGAATCACATAGATTTTAGAAGTGGTAATAGTTAGAGCTGGATGATTTATTTATTTATTTTAATAGTTAATTCCCCGGAAAATGTGGTTTCAGTCATGTCTAAACTATTTGCTTCAAATTTGCTGAATAGTTTTGGCTGGAAAAAAAACAAAGGAGGGGATAAACTGTGTTGGAGGAAAGTCCCCAATTACGCAACAGCTCAATGATCAGAGCATTTACTTAGGTAGCAGAGACCCCTCAGCAGAGGCTGGTTGAGGCAGGCTATGCTCACTTCTTCCTGTTACCACTTAGATTTTGTCCAGACAGTAAGGGATGGGGACATACCTCCCAAGGGAGCACACTGGTTCCCAGAGTAGAAAGCCATGATTCTCATGCTCTCCCTCTCTGACCCAACAAACTTGGTGACTTTGTGCAGGTCAACAGCTTCAATGTGAGGAAGAATTTCCCCTTTCTTCTGCTTCAGGCATACCCAGTCCTTTGACAGCTTTCTAAGAAGTAGAATTCTGCTTCAAATTTCCTTGGACAAAAGTAGGACTTCCTTATCCTAAGTATATCCATGCTATGACATTCTTTCAAGCATCCATAGCAAATATTCTACATCAGATTAAACAGAACATTTAATGTTTCATGCAAAAGAATAACCTTCAGGTTATTTTCTTCCAGCAAGGAGAAAAAGCCGGTTTGATTATGTCTAAACTGTGCTGGTTTTTATTACATTCACTGTGGCTTTTGAACAAAAATGCAACTTCCGCAGTGTTTAACTGATCATGAAATAGTTTGGTTTCACCTTCATCCAGGCTGCACTACACTTCATACAAACCCTTGTGCCTGCAGCCACACAAAGAATTGAAAACGACATTGAGAGCTCCCAACTCCCGTCTCTGCAGTGCCAGACACCACATCATACAGCCCTTTCAAAGTGCACTGATCACACTGCAGGTAGTTCTTTTCTTTCTGCCTTTACTTGGATGAAGGTTGTACCAAAACCCTGTTGTGAATAGCTAGAAACAGTCTTATTTCCCATATAAGCTTATTTGTGGCCAGTTTACTTGCATATGCTCTTCTGCCAGCATTATTCTATAATGTACAGAGCTCTCAGACTCCTTGATGTTGCCATCTTCAGTGTAGCTACAGACATTACCATATCCTCAGTCACCCATCTGCCAATCCAGAAAACTGAGTTATTCAAGCCACCTCACATAAAACAGGCTGCTTTGTTCCTTTATCTCTGCCAAATTCCCATTTTAGTTCCTCTCCTTTAATACAGATGAATGGATCTATTTATGTCCCAGCACTTGACCTTGCCCTGCCCTATCTTACTTGACTATCTTTGTTAAATTTTACAATACCATTTATGCTTTTTAATTCCACATTTTTATCAGCTAACAGAAGCCTGAAGTACTTCTCCTCATCTATTTCCAAATGGTAAGTTCCCACATTACATTAGAATTTCTTACTAGTGCCCAAGTGCACATCCCTCTATAGACTGTACCTTTGGATTCTATCCTATTTCTATCATTTCCATCATTGAGATGATCCAGATCTTCCAAGCAATATCCCAACCCTTAACTCTACTGCTATTGTCTTCTGACTCTCTGCAAACAGCCAGCATAAGCAGCACACGCCTGGACTTCATGCTGGTAAATAAAAAGATTCCTATTTCAAAAGTTAAACAAGATGGACCAGGACTGGTCCTTGTATTTCTTACCAATTGAAATCTTCAAGGATTCGACTAATACCTACCTCCTTATTTCACCCCATAAGTCAATGCTGTCCTACATGTAGTCAGTTCTTTGTAGTTTAGGAATAGCATGTTACCCATCAGAACGTTTTATAGCTGGATTTCCTACAAAGAATGTACATTAAAAGTTCACTTAATAATTCCTACTAACTCCATCTTTATCATATCAAATTATTTACTGAAGATAAGTCTATGAACTGTCATATTTGTCTCATTTTAAGATACAGATGTATCTTACTATTTTCAATCACATGGCATTATCCTGGCAATAGTGATTCATTTGAAAATCCCTTGTTATAAAATTAAGTTTTAGTAATTTCAAAATTATGATGCTTATCTGATACCAAATTTATTAAAATCTTCCAACTTTTCTTCCAATTTTGTTGCAATTACCACTTCTAATACCTTAATTCTGCTTTTCCATGTAGTGTTTCATTCTAACATCATCACCCATCACCAAAGCCTAGATGAAGTATTTTATTTGGATTGGAGCAAAACTGAGATCATCTCTACGCAAGCCTCTTAACACAGTTATCCCATTTACTATTTGAGAGTCAAGCCTAGCAATAACAGTAGTTAAACAAGACTGTCCTTGTTGGACAAAAGGAGAAATAGGAAAGCCATATCTTTTCCAAACAGGAAGAAAATTCCCTTCCCTTCCCTTCCCTTCCCTTCCCTTCCCTTCCCTT